GCCCGAAAGTGATCGCGAGAAGCTGCTCGAATGCGTGATGTCCGAAGGCGTTAGCGGGAATCTGCCCGAAAGCGTTGACGGAGCCGATCTTTATTCTCTCACTCTTGCAGGCACCAATGTACGAGCTCTTGAGCAAACAATACGGATCACTGATTTTAATCTTTGATGCAGTGCTGTCTTCTTCTTAGCGAGCAGCAGTCACCTCGTGGACGAAAACAAACAGCCCCAAAAATTGAAAATTTAAAAAAGTACTTAATGAAAAAATGTTTTATTTTAGCGTTTTGGAAAGCTCTCGAGATAAGCTATAAGAATGTGCAATAAAATGTAGGGGGTTCCATTAAAAAAAATAAGGTTGACCTTGAAATGACCTTGAAGGACATGGTCAAGGTCAAAGTCAAGGTCATCATCTTACTCCCCGCTTAAAACCATACAACTTTGCTATTGGACATTTTCTCCAAAATGCATTCTAACTAAAGATATTAGGGGGTCCGATACTTTTCGATGATCCTGTATATATACAGGGTGTCTCACACTCTCCTCCGGGCATTTTGTGGGGACGTAGAACAGGTTGAGGTGAACATTAAAGTCCTGTACCGTTTTGCGATATTCACAATAATTATCGAAATATTAATTCTAAAAAATTTGTGAATGATCATGCAGGATATGGTAAATGAGTTATAATAGCGACGATCTTTATTCTCTCACTCTCACTATTTTTTTTAATGGAACCTCCTACATTTTATTGCATATTCTTATAGTTTATCTCGAGAGCTTTCCAAAACGTTAGAATAAAACATTTTTTCATTAAGTACTTTTTTAAATTTTAAATTTTTGGGGCTGTTTGTTTTCGTCCACGAGGTGACGAAAATACGACGGCATTATAACTCGTCTTAGCTGCTCGCTAAGACGAGTTATAATGCCGTCGTGTACTTATACTTTAGGTCAAATTGAACAAAAAAGTCTTCTTCTATTTTGCAAATAATCACATAGATTTTTAATTATTAATTAAAGAAGGTGAGAGCATTATCACGCAAAATCGTGCAATAATCTTCTTTAATTAATAATTAAAAATCTATGTGATTATTTGGAAAATGGTAGAGGACTTTTTTGCTCAATTTGACCTAAAGTATAAGTACACGACGGCAGTCGTCGCTACTATAACTCATTTACCATATTCTGCATGATCATTTATAAGTTTTCTACAATTAATATTTCGATAATTATTGCGAATATCGCAAAACGGTATAGGACTTTTATGTTCAGCTCAACCTGTTCTACGTCCCCACAAAATGCCCGGAGGAGAGTGTGAGACACCCTGTATAATATAGTTGAATAGTGGCCGCGTTTTGCGCTTTTAAATTTTATAGTAATTGAATAGTAACTTCAATATAATTTCATCATACTTTGAGCCATTTCCCGTCCTCTACTAACTGATGACACAGTTTCTGAGGCGACGGTTGCTGAAAAGGATCGGGATCATCTACCAGTCCTGCAAAACTAACGATGAACGACCGATAACGCACGCGCAACAGGTTCGCGGGAGGATCGCTCGATAAGCATTCGGACTGTTTTCACTTCAGAGCGACACGGCGATGTAATTCAAGCGGTTTTATTCACTCGCTGGCTTTTATATACTTTCCATACACCCACCATCGACAGAGTCGATAAAATTCCACACGGAATACGAGAGTCAATGGATTGATGAGGAAAAATTTGCAAGAGACTACAAGAGAGCAGTACAAATCGAGAGATGCAATCGTTTTATCCCGCGCTACGCTATTCACGCTATTCACATTAAAATCAATCCGGATACTCGCTTCAGCGCGATCCTCGCCTTTTCATTATTGCACTCATGTCGCGACCTGTACGGATAATTCGTCGCGATTTGCAGCTTGATTCGCGTCTTGAACAACTTGTAGGTTTTACTAAAATCGATCAGATACTGATTGATCTTGTTCTCTACGTGTTGCACATCGAGATACTCGAAGGGACCGTCCAGCCAGACCCCGCGATCCCTTTGCCACTGGTAGGCCCGATAAATCAGGCTGTAAAACGGCAAGATGTTCTCCTTCAGCTCCTGGATGCGCGGATACTGCGTCAATGGGAACTGGAACAATGATTCCTCGGCGTTTATGAACTCTGCCCGTTGCTCCATACGTTCCAATTGGCGCATTAACTTTCGCATATCCTCTATATGTTCCTTGATGCGACCTGCGTCGTCCATGTCGTCCATCATGACCAGCCTGAAGCAGGAAAGCGGGTCACGTTTGAACAGTACGATTGATTTGAGCAAAAAGGAAATTTAAATGACTCGCACGATGGATTGTTGATGTAGCCCGTTCTTGTAAATATAAATAGCGAGAATTCAATCGCGCCAACTTTTCCTTTTACTCGAAACGTATCACCCTGCGAAACTGCGTTATCGAAGTTCGACGTTGACGGATGGCGCGGAGGAGAACCTTACCTGGGGAACATGTTCTCCACCGTCGCATTTAAAACCACGACCTCCTCCTGGAGCTTCTCCTCCAACTCGAACTTCATCTGCTCATACATCGACGCGCTGCGATCGAACACTGGCTTGATGCGCTTCAACCACTGCACCGTCGTGTTGTTCAGCTCGATATGGGATTTACTGAGGCTGGTCATCTCGATCAACGAGCCCACCATGCGCAGCGAGAGTGTTATCTTCTCCTGCATCTCCCGCATCAATGTCGACGTCGCCGTCAGCATGTACTGGCCTACACACGAAGGATGCGATCGTTACCGTTGCTGACTCCTTGGACGTCGAAAGGATCGATCACTGATGAGAAATCGATGAAAACGCGGCGTTGCGTTTGTTGCATTTTTCCACTAGGTCGCTTCTGGCACTCTCGAGTTCGTCGAATAAAATCGAGCACAAAATCACAGACGAATTACGAGATATTAGGTGGTAAACTTAGTTCCTGCGGCTCACAGTTAGATGACGTTAGTTGTAGGTGTAATTTATTTTGACATCTGAAACTGGCTGCATTTTAGAGGTTAGACATTTGTCAATAAAATTCAGTGCGAAGAGATTCATTTAAGCGAGCAGTGCTATTTTTTCTTTTGATTAAATATGGAACGTGATAAGTTGTTTTTT